TTTGTACATATTGGAGTATAATCCGAGGGCTCCACATACATGCATCCATAAATAACTAGATTTGAACATTCCTTTTTCAGTTGGGCTAGAAAATTCAAATCTAAAGTTGGATAATTAAAATTATTTTTATTTTCTCTAGTTTTGCTTAATCGGCTCATATCTTCTTCGCTTTACCTCGAATTTTTTTTTTCACAGATGGAACGAGTTCGTTGTGCTCTACAAAATTATATCAATTTTCAATATTTTTCGAGAAAAAAATCATACATCTCGTTACCAACTGCATACTATATGGTATCTTCTTCGTTTTTAAGTTATTTTTGAAATTTTTTGCACAGAAGGAATGAGTTCATCGTGATCTATTGGATCTAAAAAATTTCGGGTGAACAAAATACATACCAAAAAATACCACACAATACCACCCTAGTACGAGGTGGTATCTTGTGGTACACAATGTTGAAAATCGTAAATGACAGTTAGTATACTCCAACTATCATGTATTCAACCATCCTACAATCTTGGTATGTTCATACCACCATGGTTCGCTTTTCATACCATATGATATGCTCTTATTTCAATATCAGTCAATACCATATAGTATAGACTCGTTAAAAAATGGCTCAACTTTTTTTGTTCAAAAAATATATAAAAGTGGATATCATTGAAGAGCATAATTAATTTGATCTAACTGTGCAAAAAATTTAAATTCCGACTTAAAACGAGTGACAAAATGTTTGTTAAAGATTAAGGGGGAAAATTTAAAGCTTCCTCGGAGAGAGAAGAGGCACTGATGTGGTGGATGATGATTGGGTTATACATGAATACTGACCAGTAGGTTATTGACCGAATATGCTCCTCAATGCGAGTGCCGAGTATGATATGAGGAAAAAATAAGGGAAAGTTTTCCTATATAGGTCTAGGAGGTCGTGTTTACTTTTATTTCCAATTCTTGTGGTTGTGGCAAAGTATTTTTTTTTTAAATGGTGTGGTTGTGGCAAAATAAAATATTGGAGGAAGCGAATCTATAAGTTTTGGGAGACAAAACCTGAAAAATGAAGATATGTTTAAGTGAAATTTTGAAACTGAAAGTTGAATGATGGTAGATTGTCTGAAATCAAAGTAATTAAAAATTGCATGATCTAAATAGTAAAAATGATAAAGTAAAAGCACTAAATATAAAAAGAGAAAGATAATATATTTTATTAAGAAGTTAGATAGATATAAAAAATTTAGTGAATTATTCAAATGAAATCTAACATATTATTTGGTATAAATGTTTTCATATTTGGATTACAAAGGAATTCATGATTCATTTGAGTACAAATGAAGTTTAGTGAAAATTCTATCTAATAAAAAAATAAAAGTTAGGTAAAAGAGAAAAAAATGAAGGAATAAAATAACAATATTAAAAATTAATTATGAGTAATGTCATTCAAATATTTAATCTTATTAAGAAAAACAATAACTATTGAAAATATGAGAAAACATATGTTCAAAACTTGTGGAAACACATTTTGTTGCTTTTGAAAACAGCAGAAAGTTACCACTCTCTGTTTCTAGAGTTGAAAACTAACAAATAACAAAAAGATAAGTAAACATATTTTCTCATTATGTTGCCATATTTTTTTGAATGGAAATAGAAAATAGGAAACGACAATAAAAATGAATAGGAAGTGTCCATCGAATTCTATTAATACAAGAACTTCTCAGAAAATGCCCAAAAAAATTCATACGGCCAAAACGAACCATACTATACTAAATACATTATTTCAAGTCTCAACAATATTATATTTGTGTGCGATGTATGCGCTTCAAACTCTTTTTTGTTGTTGTTGTTGTGAAAGTACATCAAACTTTTGGGTAATTAGCATAAATGGTCACAAACCTTTGCACTTAGTACAAAACAGTCACAAACCTTTAATCTGTAACCATTTGATAAAAAAACTTTTTTACTTAGAACAAAACGGTCACAAATTAAACAGTGTGACCATTTCTTGCCAGTTCAAACTTTTGTTACCGTGTCGTTGCAAATTAGACTTTTTGTGACCGGTTTGTACAAATTAAGTTCAAAAGTTTGAACGCTCAATCACCGTTACAATTCACTCTAGTTGTATGGTGGTTTTGTTAATGTATGTGAATGATATTATGTTGTTTAGGATGACAATGAGAGAATTCAATGGCTCACAAATGGGTTCCAGACTGCTTTTTAGTTGAAAAAACTATGTCTACTTTCTTACTTTCTTGGTATCAAAATTGAAAGGTCAACTAAGGGCATTCTTATTCGGCAAAGCAAATATGTCGATGAACACATGACCTGACATCTTATATGCTGTTCAAGTGGTTAGTGTCATATACTTAACGAACAAACTACCGGACCTCAAAACATGACCAACATTTAATTTGTAACAATTCGGTAACAAACCTTTGCACTTAAAACAAAACGGTCATAAATTAAATAGCGGTGACCATTTTATACAATTTCAAAGTTTTGTTACCGTATTGTTACAAATTAAAGGTTTGTGACCATTTTGTACTAAGTGCAAAGGTTTGTTACCATTTATGCTAGTTACCATTTATGCTAATTACCTCAAACTTTTTGATTGCGTCTTCTTCTTTTGTACTACAAATACTCTAATTAGAAATACATAACTCATTGATCAGACGATTCCAATTTCCAACACAAGATTTCTCAAATATAAGGGCTCTTGCAGAAACTCCGATATGCCGCTTTGAATTTGACCGTTGACCATATGGCATATGTTAGATTATAGGCCTTTCACTTTTTCAGCATAACCGGCTTTCCGTACGGGACCAAGCACTCTTCTTCCTATTTGGAATTTTTCGTACGGTGGACTTATCTGACCTTTCGTTTTTCTTTGTGGGGTGGACCTATCTAACTCATGGAATTGGATTTCATTCAGTGCATCTTTTAATGGAGCAAAATTACCTTCCCTTACAGGTGATTTTGGTTTTAATTTTTCGTGTTAAAGTATAGTCGGTGGTTGTGGACTCATGGTTAATTATGGAGCAAAATTACCACTGAACTCTTAAAGGTGTAAAAATATATGCATTCAATTTTCTCAAATGTTAGAAGAAAAAAAACTCTTCTGATCTATCTAATTTTTTATTGACGGTAATACTCATCATATAAAAAATGAGACAGTCAAGGATATGTTGTGTTCCCTTCAAACTACAATCAATCTCGTTTGTTTATTCAACGGAGTCTAATTAATTATTCACCAACATACATGTAGTTCAACAATTTCGTAATAATAAAGTAACTCAATGACGTAAAAAAAAAAAGGACTCAAGGATCAATTCTTTGAGTCTTGTTGATTCTTCTAAAAATACCTTATTTTAATTTCCCCTTTCCCTTTCGAGAGAAGATATATATATATATATATATATAGTTTGTAAATTTACCGTATCATTCCACTCCTACTCACTCATTCATTAAAGAAATTTGGAATCTTTTCGGTTTCAAAATCCATGATGTTTTGCAAGCAAATATAGGTAGGGATGAAGTTCACGATGCTGTGACCTCTTTCAAAAATATATAGAGAGAGGTAGAGATGGGGAATGGGTGGTAGAGATGAGGAATGGGTGTGTTGGATGGATTTAGATTTTAATATGACCTACTCATTTATTAACAAGTTGTACAATTTTTGTTCGCAATCCACCCACACACTATTTAGAGTAGGATTGGGTGGGCAACGGATGAGTGCGGTTGGGTTGTGGGTTAACTCGCAAACCTAATTCTTCAACTAATAATCAGACAACAATCAATCAGTAGGGCAATAGCATAGCTATTATTGACCTGACCCTATTGTATGAAAGCAATACTCTAACCGCTGAGTCAAGTAGGTTAACCTAATTCTTCGTCGTAAATTAGTTAGTTGCATCAATTTAGACACCTCCCGTTAATGTGTCTCCTATGAAGATGTCTAGAAGTTGTATCAAATCTTTCAGTACTTCATTATGTAAAGAAAGTTCACAATTTTTTTAGACTTATTAGATACAATTAATAGCTTATGATTTGCCTATCAATAGTTAATCAACATTACACAACATAATGACCAATAGGATTACCGAAATAATATTCTTTATTTTTTCTTTAGAAGTACGATGGCTATTCATATAGTATAAATCGAAAACAATTATTTTGTAAAGATGGGGTGCAAGTCATTCCAATGGCCCGCAATCCACCCATCACCCACCCAATAAGTGCACGTAGAAATTTTTTGGATTCACAATCCACCTCATTAATCACCCATCAACTACGAATTGAGTTATTTGCGAGTGTGTCGATATCAAAATACATATTACCCACCTATATATAGGTATATCCTAGTATTGATCTTATCGTCCCTTCAAGTTACTATCTCAAACCAAACCGTTAAAACAAATCAAGTAATAATCATACATGTAAAAAAAAATCCGTAACTTTATTACAGTGTGTTCGTCCGTAGCTTCCTTGTAATTGCTGATACGATTGCATATCTTGTCTTTTCCTCCTAACCCATTCCCCTTGAACACAAAGCCGCTAAACTAATCGTTAATTACAATCCTTACCCACTTAAGGACACAGCACCGTGCATCTATGCTCCCTCTTGCTCTCACTTATTCCCACTACTCCCTAAATTTCCTCTTGTCCTGTTCGTGATAAATGCCAAATCAACCCCCTTAATCACCATCAGAAATACCCCCTAACCGGCAAACCCTCGGATAACACAACTCTAATCACCCTCTTACCCGCTGCCACTTGTCCCCTAATCCCCAATTAAAAGACAAACACCCGATTAGTTAATTAATCACAATCAGAAAAGCCCTCTGCCGCCGCCCAGCGGGTAGCAACCCGAACCCGACCGTCTCTGCCTTAACCCGCCCACCACGGTCCACGCACTTCCCTCCCTCCTAGCGCTGCCCGCCACGTGTCTTCCTTGCACGTGCGGCGTCCCCCAGCTGTGTATAAATACCAGCCCCACATCCCATTTCTCTTCTTAACCCGCCACTCAATTAAACCCGAACCAGGAAAACCCGAAAAAACAGAGAGATCGGAGAAAATGAGGAACGAGAAGGTTACATTGAAGAAGAAGATTAGAGGAATCAAGCTTGGGAGGAAAGTAGGGACGGCGTTCAGGTGGGTAATCCGACCGAGAAGCGCGATTCGATCGATGAGGAACCCGATTTCGGGGATTCTGTCGATGATCCGGGTCCTGCAGAGGAGGGCTCTGGAAACGGTGAATGTTTCGGGTCGGAGGGATTGCGTCCAGCTGGGCCGGGTCAAACCGGTGGAGGATTCGCCGCCGCCGAAGGGCCACCTGGCGGTGTACGTGGGCGAATCCGACGACGACACGAGGCGGGTCGTGGTGCCGGTGATTTACTTCAACCACCCGCTGTTCGGGGAGCTGCTGGAGGAGGCAGAGCGGGTTTACGGGTTCGACCGGCCGGGCGGGATCAGCATCCCGATCGGGTATTCAAAGTTCGAGAAGGTGAAGATGAGGATCGACGCCTGGGACGGCGGGGTTGACCGCCGCCGGCGGGCGTTTCTGCCGGCGGTGCGGTTTTAGTTTAGATTAGATTGGATGGATTCGGTATTATCAGGAGATTTTATCTTAATTCCTTCTTCATCTTTTTTTCATTATTAATTTTCTAAATGATGATGATCTGTTAATAGTAAGGGTTTGTGGATTCATCTGGATTTGGAAATGGATAATGGAGATGGCTTATGGTGGAAAATACATTATAATTAGCTAAGTACGTTTAATTTCATAAATGGAAAAAAATCAATGGTTTTAAGTACGTTTCTTTCCACTCCCATTGAATTACAATAACCAGCATAATGAGCATCGGAAATGTGATTAAATTCCCTAAGTTAGATTAATTAGGAGGTGGTGATACAGTAAACGAACGGCAGATCAATTAGAGAATGGAGTGAAGGTGGTGGTTGGGCTACGAAACCACGGAAAGGGAAATAAAGAATTTGTTATGTGAGGATTTTGGATTCTTTGTTAGATATTTTTCATTTGATGATGGTGAAAGCAGGAATGGGAATGGGAATGGGAATCGAGAACACCAAAGGTATGGTAGTGTAACGGTAAAACTGTCGTGACAATGAAGGTTTGAGAGTTGCAGATCTCAGGTTCGAATTCAAGCGAGACCCGCTTGTGTTTCTGAAGGTATAAGGTTTCTAGGAGCGAAGTCCTGATGGCGTCGAATTTGATTGTAGGTGGCCCCCAAATTTAGTAGGACTCGCTGTCACAAAGTGGCACGTTGAACTGAGGTTCCTGGGTAATAAAAAAATAAAAGGGAATGGAGAAGGGGGGCGGACAATGATTATCTGTTACCTTATCTAGTTTGAGTATTATCTATCTATTAATACTCAGGTCGGATTCGAGTTGACAATAAAAATCATATCTATACTCGATCGGGTATTCATGAATATCCACTGATAATAATTTTCTTTTATCCTCACAACTACTATTATGTTACTAATTGTAAGAATATTAATATTACATATTAATATTACAGAAGTCAAAAACTATGAACAATAAATTACCAATACTAAGAGAATAAGAGAAATAATAAAAAAGGAACACTAGTTCTTTAGAATTGATATTATACAAATATACTAGGAATACCGAATATATTGAAATAAAAAATGACAATTTTTATGAAATATTGTACATGCATGTATAGTCGATCGGGAGATTTTGGATTGGAAGTGAGAAAATCATACCGACCTGTTTCCGGTGATTTTTGGGTCAATTTTTATCCATACTACCATATATTTTATTTAGTTGGGATTTGACCCTATCCGATCGATCGGATTAAGATTAGTAATCATGATTTTACATAGAGAAAAGATGCAAGAGAGCTAAATTAATATCAAATACATACACAATCTTTTTTTTACCTAATACGATGCACAACATGTTATTATTATTTTTCCTAGAAACTAATGATCTCTTACCCAATCTTTGGTCACATACCGCATACGTGGAAGAAATTGAGCATATGATGGTTTCGGTTGGTAAGAGCAAGAGTTGATGTTTCGGATTCTTAAATACTGAGGAACCCATAAATAAATTCATATATATAATATATTCCTAACTCCTTTCAACAAATCACAAATTCATACATGGAAAACATGGTATTCTTATCTTTTTCCTATTTCTTTACTTCTAATTAATCAATGTCAAGCTCATTGAATGGTCTAGTCCTTATCTTACTTCTTTGTTTCCGTACGTCGCTATAAGAGAAAATATTGAATTAAAAATCTTGATTCCCAACCCTAATATGAGTATGTGATTCAAGTGGTTAACTGTAGGATTAATAGGTTATGACCCCTTTAAATTTTCGAACGTTTTGCTTTGTTATTTCCAAACGGTAAATTGACCAAGTAAACAATTTTTTTTTTGTCGTATACTTGATCAATTTTCACTGCCTGGAGGAGTAAATTTCCCAGGGTATTGGAACGAACGGGATCATGTATGTGAATGCAGAATTGATCGAAGCATACAAATTAAAAAGCCTCTGAGAAAAGTCCAAAAAAGAGGAATTTCTTTCGTTATATCTTCTAATAAGAAAAACAAACTAATTAATAAGAAAGTGGAGTTAGGGGCAGAAGAGGTCATCATATATATATGGCTTTGTCCTTTAATTCTTTGTAGGACTGAAAAAGACACCAACCAGAATTTCAATTATATTTCTTGTTTCGCGTTTCCATTACTTGAGATCCCAACGCTGGCTTTAATTTGGTCGATCATCATATCTATGGATTTTTCCTCAAAAATTACGTTACAAGTGGAAAACGAATCCGAACAATATTGACAGGTAGTCTACCTTCAAATGACCGGCATCGATCGGTACCAACTTACAGCTATACACTTCCATGGATTTTCAGAAAATTAAACAAGAAATTGTCAATGACTATTAATGGATTATTCGAGATATATATTAACAAGAGTGATGTTTATTTTATGTGACCAACATGTGAAATCGCACTTAATTTAATTTTAATTTTTAATAAAAAAGGATTTCCTTAGTCACTTGATGAACTTTATGTTGGTCTGGGAATCAGAGTGATAAATCGATTTTACAATCATCGCTTTTGATCATAGTTGTTGCCCATATGCACAAGGAAGAGGACATGGTCGTTAACGGCACGTTTATGTCTCAAACCCGTAATTAACGAACCGGACAGGAAAAAAGATGACACTTATATATACCCAACTAGAAAAGCAAAAACTGCTTAACCAAGCTAAGCATCTTCTTAGTTTAACGCAAGTGCTAAAGAAGCTTCCCGCGAAACTACCCGAAAGCTTACCGTACGTAAACAACAAAAATGCCGTACTGTGGCTTGTTAATTTATTAATTAGTCATATTAAAAAAAATTGGCAAAATCCATGAATTTTTTTGGCTCAAATAAGAAAGAATATAAAGAAAACGACCAAAGAAAATGTTAATTCATTCTTTTTATATATTACCTACCTAGTTCCATCTAAATTTCTATACACAGCACGTTCCGGATACCTAACTCATCTTGGAACAGTTGGGCAAGACGTTTCGACGTTGCCTAGCGTCTACATATGTCTTATTGTAACTTAATTGCGCCCTCTTATTAAATATAAAAAGCACTTACGGTTCTCCATTCAGTGCAATTGAATTGCAAAAAATGAATTCGATTAGCATTCTGTTTGGCATTCAACTCCTGTTAAAATTCAGTTTATGAACAAGATACTGGTTTATATTGGATTGGATTGGATGAATATACCATAGGTGCATAAGTTGAGGTAACATAGGAAGGTTCATTGATGAATGAGAAGTCAAACCTCCCTCCCAAGCTTGTTCCGATCGACGAGTGGAGCGGTCATTTGAATTTCCCTTCGGTTGCACAAAAGCTGACTTCAGAAATAGGAAGGTTCACCCAACAAATAATTTCGTTCAGCGTTGACTCTTTTTGAAGGAAAAGTCGCACTATCATGGACCAATCATTTTGGAGCCGCCATTTCGGCAGGGAAGAACATGTCAAAGGAGCACACTTCAACAACCACGGTGAATGGGCTACCTCTTCTCCACAGCAGGCCCGCCCAACAACTACTTCCCACTAGTAGATGAGCAAGCCTCCCAGCCCAAAAGCCCAACAAGATCCAAAGCCCCGAGCCCAGAATGGAGCCGAACTCTATTGATCTTTTTCATATAATTTTAATTTCACGACCTTATAGGCCTATAGGCCCTATACATCAAAGTTCACAGCAAGAACGATAAGATAAACCCCCATTATTTACATAACACATCCCAACGCTTACCGCTATTTAATCTTCCCCTGCTATAGCATTACAACAATCTCTGAGATATATGTAGAGATCAACTCCCCATCTTTCAAGCACTGAATCCGACGGTCACCGGGCTCGAATTACCGGCTGCATACCCTGCACACGCTACACCAGATGCTTCCTCCATCGTCGCATCCGATATCCCACTGTTACAGATGTTCGCAAATGCTCTCATGTGCTTCATCCCGTACTGCGTCAACGACCCACACTTCCCCTCGAACGCTCTCACCTGCAACAATTCCCCAGAACCAGCTCGTTAGTGCTCATATTGTTGGCCACGAGTATCAAGCCACAACGACGATATTTCGAGATTTCGATTAGCTCACCATTGATTTCAAGCATTGCCAGTCGTCCACAAGAGGCGAACCGGCCTGCCTGACCTTGTTGAGCACATCCGGACCGTTTTTGGGTCCGAACAACAGCGTTCCAACCAGCTCTATGCTGCCATCCAAGTGGTTCCTATATGTCACGGTCTTCCTGATCTCCTCCAGTATCGCTGCCTTCTTGGTCGATCCGTTCTCCGACCTCTTGTACTGGACAGATAGAAGTACCATCACACGAATCATGTCATATACACATTTCATTTGGGTTGTTCACTGGATTTATTGTATGGTTTATAGATGATTACAACAGTACTTACCATGTGCCACAAGAAGAGGAGCTCTGCATCTCTCTGGTTCACAACATCCATCCTCGACAACCCTTCGTTGGGCGGTGGAGGGAGATTGACGCTGGCTGGATCGAAGCCTTGGTACAGGTAGAGCTTCTCCGGCTTGATCCCATGGCTCCCGTATTCCATCACGTGGGATCCGGCTGCGAATGTGTTGCCATTCGAGGTTCTCGACTTCACGGCCTTGTATTGTTGATTCACCGTCTCCCTCTTCAGATTGTGCGTCTCGCTGAATGCGCAAGCACGAAATTAGAAAGGATGGATCAGATGGCATATCTATGCACGAAAAATGACTTGCAAGAAAGCATTATTTGTACCTGTCTTCCATCCAGGCGACGCTATAGAGATCACCGAGGCAAGTGATGTACTCTGGAGGAGGGGGAGGGTCCATGCCAGGGCAGTAGGTACCGAAACTAGACTCCTGCGCGTTGGACGCAGTGGTCACATAAATGTTCAAGTCCTTGGGCATGATCCCTTCGAAGATGCTACCGCTCTCGCAGGCCTCCACATAGATCACCATTTCTTTGTACGTACCAGTTGCGTGCTTCTTCTTCAAGACCTCGATGAAGTCCATCGCGTATAGGAAAGGCATGTTCGGCATCCCTGGACAGTTAAAGGAGCTCGCGGTCAAACATGATCAGTTACAACCTCTCCATCTGCTAGCTCACAACCTTGTAACTTGGTTTTGTTACTACTACCCTAGTACTTACCGAGAACACCAGGGCCGCCATGGTCAGAATAGTACAAGAAAATCCGGTCGTTCGGCTTGCTAGCCACAACCTTTCCGCTCCCTCCTTTCACAGCAGCCTTGTCACCCATGATCACCGCGTACAGATTCTCCGCGGTCACATTCTCGCCCGTGTAATCCTGTCACACCCAAAAATCAAACCAACCCAAGTCTTTAAGCTTTGATAAGTTTCTACCCCACTTAATCAGATCGGTCACAAATCAACAAACAGTAGGAAAAAGGCAATCGGTTCCCATCAGAATAATTCAGACAGCCTACCAACAAATTCAATCTAATCTCATAATCATGAGGTAAATCAATAGTTAATTTAAAACCTCCAGTAAGCCAACTTCTTACCAATTTACAGTCCAACTTATAGTTTCCCATTAATTACAAACAAAAGACTCTTGGAAGGAGGCCACCAAAAGCAGAAGTCTCTAGAGAACCAGTATCGTCCACATTTGGCCACTCAACATCCACAAAATCCAATAAAAACAGGCCACCAGCAGATGCTCAAATAGAATAAAGCAGCAGAATATAAGAATCAAGCAATTGGATTAAACTATACTAACCGAAAGATGAACAGCTCGAAATTCCCATCATGCTACTTTGAATCATGTTAAAGTAGGTCGCTCTCGACTTTGCAATATGAAATTCAGATATTTATCTCCTTTCCCCACCATAAACCAGTATTTGTTGGCCACTTGCAATGGTTAAATCAATAAAAAATGACGTAATATGGACTGGATCCTAGGTTAGGACGCACATAGATTCAGTATTTTAATTAACCCTTCATAATGACACCATTAGTTAAGTAATTAAGCAAACCCCCAGCAACAATCCTGGCCGTGAATTAATTAATTTTATTGCTTGTCCCGAAATCAAAGATTTAAAATCATCAACCCTTTCCGAGTCGCTATCGAATACAATCCAACCACTCATCAGTCATCAAGTACCTACTTACAAAAACAAACACAAAGTTCCTCCAACACTAAGTATCATTAGTTCATTACACTTTATTTTAATAGACCCCAAAATCCCATAAACCAAAAACTCCTGGCTAACTCTTTCCTGTTTAGTCCTTAGACGCATATGTTCGAGACTACATCGAACCGGAAATAAACCCTCTTGCGACCGGCTTATGGTAGATTGTGAGAATCGAACTCAAAACCATTCCATACCAACCCCGTGCCTAACTACAGAGTCGCTCAAATTGGGACTTCTCGGTAACTCTTGTTAAGCTTGAGTTGAGTTACGGAACAGTAACCGCTAGTTGAATTCGGCGGAAATTACAACTCTTTCAACCTCAAATGATCTCGAAATTTGGAACACTTTAAAAGAGAAATTGAACTTGGACACTATATGTAACAACTACCAAGTTAGTGAAGTACGAAAGTTACCTTGGGGACGCCGGTGTAAAGGTCGTCGCCTTGCGGGTGGTTGATGATGGTCCCAGGCCTGGGATTGAGCTCGCTGTTAGCGATATCGTCGAACATGAACACCACAATGTTCTCCTCCTTCAACCCGCCTTTCTTGAGCAGCTGGTACGCGTGGCAAACATCGGCCTGATCATATATAACCACGAACTCATTAACCCGTCACTAAATCATCAATCAAAATTATTAATCAAACTAATAAGCACACCCAAGTTCAATTCGTACCTGATGCCTGTAGTTTCCATACCCTTTCGAGCCGGCGACAAGAACCGCCCATCTCGTCCCGACTTCATCGTCGTTGGGACCCTTCTCGGTGGGCATCACGATTCCGGGCTGGAAGGGGTTCTTCGCCGGGAAGGCCTCTCCGGAGAGAAAAGACAGAGCGAGAAGCAGGGGAAAGAAAGCAACTTTTGGAATCTCCATGGAAGAACTTTTTTTTCTTCTTCTTTTCCTTGGTGGGGTGTTGGGGGTAGAGGAATTGGAGAAGGGGAAAGAGTGGAATTTAAAGGGGGAAGCGGTGAAGCAGGAATTAGGAAGCCATGCAAAAGGAGGAGCTGACACGTCGATGAGGAAGGTGGGTCCACCAGAACGCCAAGTGTGGGCTCTGTTTTAGCTCAAGCTTACTCTGTTTTTTCTGGGTCTCTGCTCTGTTTTTTCTTTGGGGACGGTAAATTTGGGGAAGTGTGATCTTCTGGGTCGGATAATTGGCCGACGGTTTGGTTTGGGGGAAAGTTCAATTAACAAAATTTTGTCTGTGTGTGTTAATTGGCGTGTGGTTTGGGGGCTTGAAGGTGGTGTTGCTTCTTTGGGGAGGATTTACGGTTGTGAAGGGAGGAAACTGTGAAACAGGGGAAAAAGAAAGAACACTTTTCTGATAGATGGTGAGGAGAGGGAGAGATGTTTTCTGGGTAGAATTGGAGTTACATAGTGAAAGGGATTTCGTGGGTTGATGGGTTTTCTTTTGTATCATTTGGGGAGGGATTGCTTCCTTTAACGGTGGACTGTTTTGAGGGAGAACAGACGGCAAAAGCTCGTCTTCTTATTTAACGTTCTTAATGACGAAAAGGAAAGTAGAAGAGTACAAATAACACACATCGACTATTACTCCATTGGTGTTTGGTTGTATAAATTCTCTTGCAATTGGATTGTTATCGGTCCCTTAATATACGGTTGGAGTTAGCAACATCCATGGATCATTAATTTTATGGGAATTGAACTTGTTTTTTAATCGATTGATTTTAATCGGAAAAAATTAGTGTTTGTGAAATCGTATCATACCGACGGTTTCACTAGAAACTCTTCTATGAGAGCCAACTAACATGTGATTTTTAGTGGGTATGAAATGGTTGAATCAAGGTTAACCAACAATTTTAACATAAAATACTTTGTCGTTAATTTTTCGATACAGTTTTGCAATCCTTGACGCTAAATTAATGACAACAGCCGCAAATAGTCTAAACTGAAATTCGTTAAGAAATTGGGGATGAGCTTCCGTCAAGAGAAAATTTGGATACATATGGTTAATAAATTAAAAGAGTAAATGATAATTAGTTTGGAGCAGAGTATGTTTAACAAACAAATTAATTGAGTGTGTGCTTTTAGAACAAAAACAATTTTCACATAAACTCCACCTCATGACAACACATAGACATCTTTAATGTATGATCATGCAACCTACCAACATAAACTGATTTATACAGTTTTACTGGTATTCTCTATAATAACGAACCTATGAAGTATCAAAAGAGTTTTAAACATACACATTAGATAAACAGAAAGATAAATAAAAAATTAACTGAAAAGATGGTACTTTGATATGATATTCTGTCCTAGCAACACGTATTGTTGTGTTGCTTTCCTTGAGAGAAAAAAGTAAGTCTGGGATCTTACACAAGAGAAATTTTGGAAGATGAACCGTGTGAAATATAGTGTAAATGTAGTATTGTTTATTCGCTTGAGTCTGAAGGCAAGTTTTGATGGTTGCTAGTGCCTAGTAGGGATGGCAATGGGTCGGGTCGGGTCGGGGTGGATAGTGCATATCCGTTACCCTACTCAATATAGTTCGGGTTTTACCCATACCCGTATCCACACGAGAAACGGGTAGAAAATCAAAACCATGCCCATACTTGTTTGGGTTTCGGGTATCCAAGGTTATCCATGGGTAATAATTTCTCCTTATAATTCCAACCAATATGTTAACATTCACACATATACTCACATTACGTAAGAGGAAAAGTACGACAATAATTCACTAGAATGACGAAAATTAATTAAAAAAACATAATTTCAGGAAAATGTTATATTTATATGCTAAATATAAAATATTCTAGGGAAAAATAATGATTATTTCTAGACAAAATACATATGAATGTGTATAATCGGGCGGGTTCGGGTCGGATAGTGAAATAACCATGCCCACCCATTACCCGCAATATTCGGGTTCGGGTTTTACCCGTACCCACGAAAAATGCTTCGGGTTCGGGTTTTACCCTACCCGATTAGGTCGGATTCGGGTGGATATCCACGGTTACGGATATTTTTGCCATCCCTAGTGCCTAGTTGGTCTTTTATGAGTTATGACCCATCAAGTTTCACTGGTGCCCAATTGTTGCTTTCAGAATTGAAGTTGTGAGGGACAATTTTGTCCTCTTAGCTCTTACACTCCTAACAATCAATGAGAGTTAACTATGGCCAGTAAAAACATTTAAATGATTGTGGGAAAATTATAGGGATTTATTTCCAATTGTTTGTACAATAAGCTAAGATATGTCCCTTGGTCAGACTGCAGTTAACCATAAGGTTGTAGGTTCAATCATCCTTTTAAGTAAAATTTGTCAATGTTATTTCATGGCCTTTAAGAAAGATCTACCATGGAGAGTCTAGTTCGTTAATAGAATTGAAGGTTCATGTGATATATCCACGACATGATGCTGTTACAACTTATGAATTAACACCGGATCGCATACATTGAAGAGATGTGTGACAAATCTAAGAATGAGCCTTGCTAGATAGCTAAGTAGTCAGCAACACAATTAGACTCTCTATACACACGATATATCACCACTTGCCAATCAAGGTTCAAGAGATTCATAGAATGTGTTGACATAAGCTCGTACCTATGGTCATCCTCCCTATAATTGACAATGATAGCCACTGCGGTTGCCTAATCCAGATTCAACATAACTTTCGTGTATCCCGTTCTCCAAGAAATCCTTAAAGGTCGTTTGCTTGTGGGATTTGGGTGTTGTATTTGGCACCCAAATATCAAGCATTATGTATTTGATAAAAAAACATTGTTTGTTGGGATTTTTCCAATAATAGCACCTATTAAAAAAATTACAAAATAGCATCCAACCCACAAAATTGCACAATTTTTATCAAACCGCACCTCCAAGGTGTGGTCTGTGTTTCCTCGGGAGCAGGTTTGGAGACCGCAAGATCAGGTGGCGATCCAGCGGCAGAACGCACGCCACCTCAGCGATCACCGCCATGGATCGCAGACCGCATCTGCAAGGAGCGGTCAACGCCTCAGGAACTGCAGACCGCATCGGAAGGGAGCGATTTCACGGTGGGAGAAATTACCAGACCGCCCCTGAAGGGTGCGGCCTGATGGGTATAAATACCCCCTCCCCCCTCTCATTTCTTCACACCACAACCATTCTTCACACTCTCTCTCTAGAATTATCTCTCTAACCCCTCCCCTCCCAAAAGCCTAGGAAATAGTGGTCTGTTGGTTGCGGCTAAGTCCGATCTGCCATCAGAAAACATTTCTTTGGTTTTTCCCTCAAAACCCGCCGAATTTCTGTCCGACTTTCGTGAACAAATGGACGAGTGGTTCCAAGGAGAGGGAGTTTATTATGATAAATTTCAAGCGGTACGTACTCATTATTTTGGTCAATTTTTGTTTTTGTTATAAGCTTTTTAATTAATCTATGTACTAACCTTGTTGTTATTCTCTCGTAGGTTGGGGACGACGTGAATATATACAACCAACGGTACTATTTGGATCAAGGGCCTATTGATCCAACCGACTTGTACGACCAACCCAACCATCGTTCAAGGGATGTTTGGAACGATCACCCGGTACATACAATTCTTCATCATTTATCTTTCTTTTATTTTGCTAATGTACTTAGTGGAATATAAAATAAATTTGAAATAATTTAATCGTATTGGTTGTTTTCAATAATTTAATTGAATACATAGCGCCACTTACTTTGACTCTTTATAAAGAGATGCACGTCCAAGGAAGGAAATGGGATTTTAAGCGAGTATCATGATCCTCCCATTTCCTGGGAAAATTGGGTATTAAGAGATCCTCGGATCCCCCCCTTTTTCTTACAAAAATGCTGTGTTTCTAAGAAGATGTATACCTCTTCTAAGAGTCTAACGAGTGTTGCATTGTATTCGATTAAATTATTTAAAACAACCAATACGATTAAATTACTTACAAACAACCAATACGAATTATGTTTATGTGTACTTAAATGAATTTTACTAATTTCAAATGTTTGAATATGTATAAATCTCTTTAAATTATTATTCATTTAGAATGTTATTTATGTAAATTAATTTAGTATATTTGTTTTATGATAATATGTATATATCTTGGGAAAAACCACAAATTACTTAAATTTGATTGTTAATAATATAATTATAATAGAAATATGGTCGAAATTACATCATTAATTTTAATTAATTTAGTTATAAGGCTAAACTGTTACTAATATATCATAAATTGGTAGAATAATTGTCGAAATTAAATCATTAAAAATTTTAATTAATTTAGTTATAAGACTAAACTGTTACTAATATATCATAAATAACGTTGAAATTTTTGCTAGGAGGCACAACAAATACTCCGCTACAGGGTACGACCAATGTGTTCCCATGGAACCTAGTTATCTTGCTCTTTCTCAAAAGGGCACGGTTGGAGTCGATTAGGCATTTTGTAGGCATAAAAGTCGATCGCCAACTCATCACCGCATTGGTGGAGAGATGGAGAAAGGAGACACATTGTTTCAACTTTCGGAAAGGAGAGTGCACCATCACACTCAAGGATGTCGCCATCCTAACTCATCTGCCCATCGACGGCAAAACGGTGTGTGTGAGTGATCAACCCCCGAGGATCGTGACGGTATGACCGGTTGGCAGTGTTTCATCCATAGTGTTTTGGGGGTGAAAGTACCAACCAAGGGGAGCGTTGATGTGACGGATCGCTTGCCACCATTGAGGAAAGGCCAAGTATTAATCACTTGGTTGACGAAGTATTTTAGGGACCTTCACAATCCTGAAAGAAATGGGGTACCCTTAACCGAGGAAAGTCCGGAGCTAGAGAAGGAAAGATATGCTCGTGTCTATCTCATAGGCATGATATCGATAGGAGGAGTGTTCTTCTCCAAAAAATCGAGCAATTTAATTAACTGTGGATGGCTTAGGATCCTCCTTGGTGATTGGGATGCGATGGGGGAGTTGAGTTGGGCTTCCGCTTGCCTAGCTAATATCTACCACCATTTGTGCAATGCATCTCTCAAAGCTGTGAGGGAGGTCGGCGACGCAATGTTCATCGTCCAATTTTGGGCTTGGGAACATCTGCCATGGATTGCACCGCTCCAATGTCCCGACAGGAATTGGGGTCCCGATCATCCCCTAAGACTCGAAGCTTATGGTTGTAGGTAAATTTCTCATACCCCATTATGATTTTAATAACACAATTTTTCTTAGGTGGGTTGGAGCCTCAACATGCGACAATCTTGCCCAACACAAGTTGGTAGAGTATCGGAGGAGGCTAGAGCGACTTTGGGAAGGAGAGGTAACTAGTTTACTTCTAAGATCCCCGAACTTTTTTTCATGGAGTACATGTATTTTTCCAATCGGATTTAACTTAAGTTACTATTTTTTTAGATCAAATTCGATCCATACCCGGCGAACATCGTTAATTGGCATTTACAACAGTTCCCCGAGAATATCGGGCAATGGTGCACGAGGGTCCCTCTCATTTGTTTAGGGACCGTGGAGTGGCACTTGCCGGATCGATACCTTCGTCAGTTTGGCCGGGAGCAGTGCATTCTGTTGGAGGTCCCCGAGAGTCAAAGGGCGTTTCATCACTGAGATGGTCGGCAAGGTACTCACGATTGGCCCACGAAGTTGGCGGAAATGATCGCGGTATGGGAGAACCGACAACTTCAGGATATTGTCACTCCAACAAGTGTGGGTTGAATGGGGTATCATGACCCATACATGGATAGATATCGACAAACATCGGTTTGGTACGTGACTCTGGAGGGTGCGGTCGATGGTGCATTGTTAAGTATATTTCGTCTAATAAGATTAAATTTATTGCTTGTTTCATTTTGTCACATCATTAGTCTTATCTTGCTAACCTTTTTATGTGATTTAGGCTAATGGGATCGAGCGGATCAAAGAGTTGACCCATGCGAAACATGAAATGGGACATGAAGATGTGAGCTTCATCAAGAGGATGACAAACAGTCTGCTTGGCTGTATCAGAGCACAGGGTCGTGATCATCGTAGTTACCCACCCATGCCCGCACCGGTGCCACCTCCGGTACAAGTTGATGTCCCCCACCCCCACCACCATACGAGAGAAAGAAAAGCAAGAAGGTTCGGGAAAGACCTCATGTGCCCGAGATAAGGCTGTTGGAGGCGTGGAGAGTGACGACCCCTTTGGTTGTGGCACACGGTGGCGGTCCGAGCTCACATCAAGATCCCCGCCCGAGCCACTCCCAAGATCCCCATCATGATCCCCGCCTGACCTACCATCATGAGCAATTCCCGAGCTCATACCATGATCCCTGCCCGAGCTACCGTCAATCCCCTCCGAGCTACCATCAATCCCCATATGATCCCCACCCGATCTCATACCACGATCCCCGCCAACCATACTATGATCCTCGCCCACCATACTATGATCCCCGCCCAAACTTGTTCAACGAACCCCCCACATCCTCGAGTACTTGGCATGATGGTTCCTCCTCGGCATACCACTGATCGACGCAGACACAGCACCGACGAGTGCCCTTGCACGACGCATCGAAGCTTGCCACCGCAACCACCGATGGTCACTCCCGTCGGCCGTCGTACAAGGAGCCAGAAAACCTTGCAGCCCCATGAGTCCCAGGGATTTCCTTGAGATGGATTTTTAGTTTTATCATTTTAATTGAAAAGGGAGACGGAGAGGTGTGAAGAGAATAGATTTCCCGGGCTGCCTTTTATAGGCAAAATCATCAATGAAAATCGCACCTTAGAGGTGCGGTTTTCATCTGCCATGCAACCCCACGTCAGTCAATCTGCATGGTTGCATGTCTGGTGTCGGAAAATAATTGACACACAAACCGCATGGGGGGGGTTTGTGTTGGCAAAACCGCACTTTGAGGGTGCGGTTTGTTTTGGAGAAGCAAAACTGCATCCCCAAAGTGCGGTTTTGCTAGGTCAGGACTAGACCGCATATGGGCCATGCGGTTTGGTTAGGTCAGACCGCAAACTGCATGGCCAAGATGCGGTTTTGGGCCAGAAAGCTAAACCGCACCTTGGGGTGCGGTTTAAATACAAAACGCACCAGGGGGTGCGGTTTTTAAAAAAGGGTGCTATTTTTGTAAAAAAAAAATTAAAGTCCTGGAAAAATCCCTTGTTTGTTGAGGTATCCAAATCCAAATCCGTGGGCCCTACGTATTTGCAAACACCATATTTCATTTGGTATTTGCAAATATCACATTATTGAAGGCAAATTTTTTAGACCCAAATACCAAATGAACTAAATCCATGACAAAAATTCAACTAAATAAAAAATGTTATCTTTCATATACAAAATGCAATAAATCCATCATAAATCCAAAGGTTTTCAAAACTCAAATCCTTCGTTTTTAAATCCAACAAGCAAACGATTAGTCCCTCAGCGGCTCCTTTTAGTTCCACACTAGTGATCAGGGGCGTAGTCAGGAATTTTACTAAGGTGGGTCAAATAGTGACATAAGTCGTTGTGAACGGCGAATGGCAAGTGGTGGTGACAACCTATTTTAGAGGTTAGAAAATGCCATCACGGAATAAGCGTCGTTTGTCCAGAAGTCTATATGGGTTTGGAGTTGTTGGTACGTCGAGCGCAACACGTTTATCTTTGTACTTGTGCATTTTGCTCTACCATCGGTTTACCTTGAAACCCTATAAGGCTACAGAAGATGAGAAATAGATAAGGAAATGTGATTTGATCAAAATGAATAAATCACCAAACTAGTTATGTTGTTTGACTTATGCGGCAGAAGCAAATTGACTCTTTGGCTAGCAACATGTTGACCAATTTAAGCCCAATTCTTAAATGCTAGTCCATAATTAAATGAAGCCCAATCCTCTTGAACTAAAAGGCCCGCCCATAAACTAAAGTAACTAAATTATAAGTCCAAGCAAATTACAAAACTATGTTGTATCACTAACAAAACGAAATTCCCTAGCAGATGGTCTCCTCGATCAAATAGTCTCCCCTGCAGGTTAGATTATGAAGAACACAAAGAACAGAGACAAATAACCCCAGTAATAAAATAACAAATAAAACAGTTTTTCCAGTGTATTGCAGGGCCAAGGTGGTGCAGCCGACCCACCTTAGTCTGTTGTGGCTCCGCCCCTTCTAGTGATCGATCAAGTGCCTGGATTACACATAAAGGCCTTACTACACCTACCAAGATGGTCTCTAATGAAGCCTCCAACAATAACACGCCCTGATGGGGAGAGAGCTGATCCGTCAGTCTGGAGCTAGATCCATCCTTCTACTGGAGGTTTCCATGTTACTCGCTGATTCAGATACGTCATAGGTGATATGCTTGTTGTTTTCATGATGCTTTGATGTTTATGGTCATTAGTATTGAATCATCCTTTAATCTCGAGGAGAAGGCCTTGCTCCTAAAACTTGCGGTTGTTATGACTTCTTCGTTCCTTTGCTTTCGAAGGTTACATTACTAAGCCAAAATTCACTCCATTTTTTTTGTCATTCACAAGGTTAGGAATCAACTATTCCTGGAAAGGGAGGCTCTGGTTACTTTATGCCACCCTGTCTCTGAGTTTGTTTCAAATTGCAGCTGTTTTGCCACATTTTTGGGTGATGTGTTATGTTGTTACTGTTAGTGTTGTGGTATATGATCCACGATTGAACCTATCCCAACAACTCGAGTTATTGGGATCAACTGGTTCTTGACATGGTATCAGAGCCTTCTGTGACCGAGAGGTCTTGTGTTCGATTCCCGGTGGCCCCCATTTGTTAAGCACATGGTATTCTTGTCTTCAGACCTGTGCAAACTTCAAGCCCTTGTGAGTGGCTTTCGTTTGAGGGGGCGTGTTAGTGTTGTGGTATATGATCCACGATTGAACCTATCCCAACAACTCGAGTTATTGGGATCAACTGGTTCTTGACAGTTACTTCCTTAGTCTTATAGAATGTACAGGAGCTTTGATGTTTCACCGGAGCTATTAGAATTGAAGTTTTGGAGGACAAATTTTCACTCTCACATTCATATTAATCAAAGACATTTAACTGAAAATAAACTAGTAGATTTACTATGCAGTTGGTAACCAACAAGCTGGGATAGCTCAGTTGGTTAGAGCGTGTGGCTGTTAACCACAAGGTCGGATGTTCGAACCCTCCTCTTAGCGACATTTTGGCATCTTCTTTTTGCCTTTTCCCACCGAGTAGAAGAGAGATCTCATATCAGTACAAAGTACAAACAATGAGAGCCGTTTTTCACTGCTCTTGAGAAATTGAACCAACCACCATAAATCCGAAGGTTTCATATTCTGAGAAGTGAGAATACAATTCCATGAGAGAAAGCAGTTCACATATTGGAAACAAATAGGAAACGCTTTTCTTTGTCCTCTCTCTTTCTAGTTCTACCTAAGAAGCTGGCAATTTCATGAAACATAACACCAGCTTTTTTTCCCCCAGTATTTCCTCCTCCAGGAATGCCACTTTACTTTCATCTGGTACCACAACGGCGGCACGCCAAGGATCCCTCGCGACAACCTCGGATCAAACACATTAAACTCCACCTTCTCATAGTATCCAACAGAACTTGGGCAGGAACAGAAGGCAACAGCACCGGACGAGCCTCAACAGGCACCGTTCCAGCCAACTGACGAGCCTTCTCCATATGAGCATTCGCCACGGACGCCATCTCAAACACAGCATCGCTCAAACTTTCCTCCCGTGATTCCAATTGAACGTATGACCTCCCTCCTTCTTTAACCAAAAACCCCATGTTTCAACGCCACCTCGATTGGTATATACGAGCCTTGACGGCTCTTGCTTGCATGATACGGCAACGACCTGAGAAGCAAGAGTAGCCCACTCGCCTTACCAATGTGGGACGCAGCGTGGTCAGCTGCAGTAGACCTGATGCCATCGGATTGAAGGGTTGTGTACAGAAGGGTGGATACGGTGTCCTCAGCATATTTTTCCAGCTCGGATATGGAGTTTGGGATGTCATTGGGATCTCTCCTTGCGTCGTTGATCCTTGCCTCGACAGAACGTTTCAACCATCCTTTGCTGATTTTGTGGTCGGAGATTACTGATGCGAGGGCTTGAGCGACTGGCTGGTCGATTGACTTGCTGGAGTATATCTTGTCAATTGCTTCTTGCCACCATAGAAGGCGCATGAGACCAATTCTGGGATCTGATGCGACGTCCATGGCTTTTGAAGTTTCGACGTTGAAGGCACGGAGTGCAAAGGCTGCCTTTCGCATGTCTGGAGGAAGCTCGAGAAGGCAGAGGTAGTGGTGGTAGTCATAGGTTCGGACTTGTTGTACACAGAAGGAGAATGCTGAGCGCAAGGTATTGGAAGCGCCTTTCATCAAAGCAGCAGTGTGCTTCCCCCCTGAAAATTTGTTTGTGTGGATAATTATGACTAGAAAAGCTGTCTGGAGCAATAAAAAAACAAAACGTTCTCATATTCATATTGTCTGAACTCTAAGGAATCACATTTTCTTATGAGAAACTTAACAACTGCCATCTTTGCTTAACTTCCAAATATGCATAGAAACGCCTAATAATTCTCTTATTGCATAGTAATCATATAAGCAGCAAATGACTATGCATGTGGACAAAGGATAAAAAGATTGTGCATATACTATAGGCCAAGCTTATCAGTAAATGAATAGCCCCTATGGATGCTTTGTAATACAGTCTAAACACAATTAGTCTCCCAAGGTCACTGCGGAATACCAAGAAAAGAATTTGAAGGAAGATCATCGACAATGTTCAAAGTACTGAACCTCACTCTTACAGCCCATAAATTACCTAGAATGATTCACTATTGGAAGCGCTACTACAAAGTTCTGTCCAAGACAAAGAGAAGTTTCACGGAATCCATTACGAATAACTAGCGTGTTCAATGTGCACATTGCAATATGCTAAAGAGAGGATAAAAGGAAGGCACAATTTCAACTCGTCAAAGATTACTCAACCCACTGAGAGAATGGAACAGCACAATCACTAAGAGGAGAGAAAGCAACAAAATTTCCGGCACAAAAGGGACGGATACCATTCCCTCACGAGCATTTCAACAAACAGTTTCTGTGCGTTCTATTTCGTTATACCCCTCCAATAGAAAATCGAAATCCAATCCAAAAAGGGAGGCTTTCCAGCATTCTAGGAACTTCAAATGGGAGAAACACCATTGAATAAAATGAAGGTCTGAAGAAAAGACTCGGGGATTCAAACCTGGAAGAAGAAAGGAAATGCAGACAGAAGAGGCGAGTAGACTGCAACGAAAACTCACCGGGAGCTGGGAGCGGTGTTCTAGTTCGTGGAGCTGCAGATTATAGAGGGGATGATTTTGGAACTTCCAAAGTAAAAAAATGCCAGCCTGTATCAGATCGAAAGACGCACACGGGAGCTGCAAACGTGGCGGTAGCTGCGCGGCCACGCTGACAAGTGACAACACAGGCGGCCTCACTGGTGGAGTGATCTGGGTGAATCTCAGCCCGCCCGATCTTGCTTTTCCCTAATTCGGTAATTATGCTTCTCCGACGTCGTTCCAGCATCGGCCGAGTTGAACAGAACCGTTGGGCTTTGGTGGAGAAGCTTTGGGTCGACATGGGTCCCCTCCGGTATTTCAAGCCATCCGACGCCTCATCATCTTTTCAAAGCCTCCTTTGATGCGGCCACTGCGGGAATTGAGAAAGGTTCCGCGACTTTTGTTATTTGTTCACCAGAGGGCACCGTCCTTCATACTAAAGCGGCTCACTATGATGGGATAGCTGATGCTTTTGTTCTTGAGGCGCTTGCTTTGAGGGATTGCTTTGTCTTTCTGCATTGATCATGGTTATCTTGAAATGCTGATTCAAGGGGATGCTAAATTGGTGATTGATCGATGTTGCAGTCATGATCTTTCTCATGTTCGGGCAGCGGTTATTCTTCAAGAGATAAATGGATTATTAAGATCACATTTGGGGTAAATTTTATGTTCATAGGTCGTGTTCGTAACAGGGTGTGGTTCATTTGTTGGCCCGTAATGCTCTGTTTTTGTCGTCTCGCTTGTTGCATAGGTTCGACAATGTTTCTTGGGTTACTAGCCAATAGGCTAGGTGTATTCAGACTCTTTTCGATCGTGTTTTTATCTCTCTAATCAATAGATTTAATGAAGAAAAAAACGATTTATACAATCACATCAATTTAGCAAATAGAAATAGTATGGCCCAATCGTGGGTAATCAATATGTTTCAGTTTGAATAAAAATATTAGAAAGTGAAAAATCATTAACATCTAGGGTTCGTTTGCTTCATGGATTTGAAAAATGAATGTTTTGGTAAAACTTGGGTTTTGTAAAACCATGGATATATGAAGGTTTTAGGTTCATTATAGACTTGTAAAATACCATTGTTTGTTTCCTTGATTTCATGATGAATTTGGTTAATTAGATTTGTGTGTAAGAAGTGAAAATGACCTACATTACCCTCATTGGTATGAGATGATAAAGACAAAAGTATGGGTAGTTTGGTCATAAATGATGGACTTTAAAGTCCATGATCAAATCCCACCTTAAAATAAATGTGTATTTATATAATTTTTAAAAAACAATCTACCTACAATCAAAATATATCCATGTGTAAAAAATATAATACATAACTAAAAGGAGAAATCATCATGTTTTTATCGATTTTGACTACAACTTCATAGCATTAGTTTCAGCTAGTGAAGGGCAATGAGCAGGTTGGATGGGTTTGCGTATTAAATTGACTCACCCGCTTACTAATGAGTTGGAATAATTGTGACTCGCAATCCACCCACATTTTTCTACGGGTTGGGTTGGGTGGGTGGTGGATGGGTGCGGTTGGGTAGTGGGTCAACCCGTAAAAGCAATTCTCCAACTAGATATTAAGAAAATTGACTAACATTTATAATAAGCTCATAGCAAATTAGGAAGACTATATAAATTTAGACATTTCTCACTTTATCTCAAGTGAGTCCATGTATTAGCGTACAAAAATTTACCACTCTATCAACCAATTATGTTGAGAAAACTTACGCATTTTGTGATTCTAATACAATTAATAATTTATAATTTTCATTCCAATATATAATGGTTATTAACAATAATTCGCATTCCAATATCCAACATCTAATCGATATTACACAACACATTCACCAATAATAATAGTCGAAACTATTCTTTATTCTCCACCTTTAGAAGTATATGATCAGACTGGAGTGCGGTTCAAAAATATGATTAATATTCGGTACTATAAGAAACAACATTTTTTCATGTGAAAATAGGATGCAGGTCATTCGGGTGACTCACAATCCATCCACCACCCACCACATAAGTGTTGATGGGAGATTTATCAATCTGCAATCCACCTACATCAATCACCCATGACTTGCGGGTCGGATTATTTGCCAATGGATCGATATCAATTATCGGATTAACCATCACGTGCCCACCCCTAGTTTCAGCCAGCTTTTTACCAATACGGATGCAAACTTAGCGAATCAAAACCACCCGGTAAGTATCACGGGCGACCCGTTTCACTGGTCAGTAGGGGTGGGCACGTGGGTGGTTAATACGCGGATTGATATCGATCCACCCTCAAATAACCCAACGCGCACGCTATGGGTGATTCATATGGGTGGATTGCGGATTGATAAGTCTCACACCCGCACTTATGTGGGTGGGTGGTGGGTGGATTGCGGATCACCCGTATGACCCGCATCCTATTTTTACATGAAAAAATATTGTTTTTTATACTATAGAATATTCATCATATTTTCAAATTGTACTATAGTCTGACCATATACTTCAAAATGTGGAGGATAAAGAATAGTTTTTACTAATATTATTGGTTAGGCAAAATACACTTGTATAGTGATAACTTTCACGTTTGTGACAAATATAGTCATATCTATTCGAAAACAAAAAATAACCAATTCCGTCCATTTTGTTAACGGTGTCAGTTGACGGTCTGACTGTACTAACGGAAGAAGCTGATATGGAGATTTACTGTCCCCACTAACTAACCACTAACTGACATGGATTAACACAAAATAAAATAAAAAATATTAATTTTGAAAAAAGACAAAAATATATATTTTTCTCTCAATCGGGATTTCTTCCGCTGCCGCTTCATCTCACCGGTCTCACCCCCTCTTCCGCTCTCTCTGACCCCTAGCCGTCGTCGCCTACTTGGCTACTTCCCTACCTTCAACTCCACCTGCCTCGGTTCACTGTCTGGCTACCAGTACGACTTCATCCTCGCTTAAAAATCCCATCCCTAACTGGTCCAACAGGCCCCCGAAGGAGACGATTCTGCTGATGTCTGCGATTTCGAGCACTGGCTCGTGGTGATGGAGAATCCAGAGGGGCTTAATATCATCGACAGCGACATCAAAACCACTGATATATACAACTGATTGATACTTTTGATGGGCTATTGGCCAATTGCTATTTCATTCTCTTTTATCGTATTCGATTTGTAGGCGGGTTTGTGTCGACGCGACGACTTGTGTCAAGAACCAGTTGGTCCGAGTTGTTGGGAGAAGGTTATGCTAGATCTTATAGCACTCTCTAACACGCCCCCTCAAACAAAAGTCAACTCACGGGCTTGAAGTTTGCACAAGCCCACCATACCATGTGCTTGAAGATAACGGTTAATATTGGGGGTCGTGGAGATTCGAACACACGACCACTTGGCCAAACCAACTCTGATACCATGTCATAAACCAGTTAGTCCCAATAACTCGAGTTGTTGGGAGAAGGTTATGCTGGATCTTATAGCACTCTCTAAAAACTTTGAGGTCTATTATGGCTGAGCTTTTGTGGTCGTCGGAGTGAAGGTTTGGCCGGGCTGATCATGACTGGATCTACCGTTCCTCGACGGTGATGATGCGGACGCGACGAGGAGCTGGACCGCGGCTAGAGCTCTTGGAGCAACTGGATCTACCGGCGCTCGCGTCGACGACCACTTATGTTGCAGCTGAACGTCGCCGAGATAGGGTTTGGGGAGACGGATTGAAGATTACGTCGGAAGGATGGAGGGATTTTGGGGAATGGAAGGTTGGGTTTGGATTTGGGAAGATGGGAAAAGGCAAATTTGGGAAATCAAAAGAGGGATCTCGTATGGGTTTTTGGGAGGTAGAATGCACAAGAGAGAAAAGGGGAAAAGTTAGAAAAAATAATTTTTTGATGTTTTTTATTTCAAAATTAATTATTTTATAACTTAAAATGACGTGGCAATAATATGATGACTGGTCGCTGACGTGTGCGATGATTTGTCATCTTAGTCAGGCTAACATTAACATAACTGACGGAGTTTTTAACACCGTTAAAGTTTTTAACGTAAATGGCTAGATTTGT